TGTGTCAATACCTTTTAAGATCTGTCAAAAGGATAGTGCGCTGCCTAAGAAAGCCGGACTTAAAAGGGAGGCTAATTTGACTCCTCCGGCGATCTGGGATCTTACTTGGCTATTGACCATAGGACTCATTAGTGACTTTCCCTTGACTACAATCAATAGTGTAGATTCGGGACGTCACAGTTTAAAGAGAAAGGTATGAAAAAATGACTCAAAATATCATTTTCTTGGACTAATATACGTGCAAACTGTTTAAGTGACCAAAGCACCGCTCGAACATCAAACACAATAAATAACACCGCTCGAGTGCACAATGACCCTTTTCTAGAAGTTCAGACCTGCGAAAGAACGCTCAAGCGCAAGAAAGGCTGTTAGAGCGAAGATACCACACTTCTAGTAGTTTTTCAAATTGTAAAAGAACGCTCAAGTGTAAGAAAGACCGCTCGAGTGAACTGGCAAAAATTTGGATAACTACTCTTTTGAAAAACTAACTCCCAACTTATTTCAAACACAACCATAACTCCCAAATAATCAAACTCCACTAGTAACAAGATAAAAATGAGATAAGCAATAGTTAGGGACATGGATTCCCAGATTCAAAAGTAAGAAATGGGTCGGGTCTAAATCGAAATTGTTATAGATGTTGCTTCAAAGCCCGACATCCTTGAGTCATGTGCCCTTACTCATAGTGGTAAGCACAATTCTTCGCAAGGAATCTGCCCATAAACTCCCTTGGGGTTTTCTATAGAGGCATGAAGTAAGGCTAATTTCTGATTCTTTCCAAGATCCTATAGATCAGGATCTTGAAGACTGTGCTCACGACTTGTATGCCCTTCAACCCCAACTCAGGCCTGTCTGTGTTGGCTCCTTCTCGGCTATGTTTTGGTGAGTTGTTTTCGTTTCTCCTGCTTTACTGTACTTTCTTTCTTTGATTTCTTGTCCTTCTCTATCCGTGTATACTTTTCAATCCTTGACATTAGATCCTCCATGATTTTTGAGAGGGTTTTTGCAAGAGATTGCCAAAATGGCCAGTCATCCTCCAAACCGTTCTTAAAAGAAACGACTACTAGCTCCTGGTTACGTGCTAGAATCTAGTTGTAAACCTCATAATACCTTGTGGCTTAAGCCTTGAGACTTTCGTCATCGTCAATCTTTAATGCTAACAAGGCATTGAGCCTCAAAGGCTGTAACCTGTTAGTCAAAAATCTGGCCACAAACATCTTGGCCAGGCCTTCTCAACTCTTAACTAATCCTTTCGGTAGCTTTAGGAACCAGTCATATGCAATTTCACCAAACGTTGACAGGAACACCTTACACAACAGTTGCTCGTTTCCACTCCACAGAGACATAGCATTCAAATATAAATCGACATGGAAGTTAGAGTCGGACTTACCATCATGTAACACTGGTATGGTGAATCTTTTAGGTGCCTCAAACACATCTAATTCCACTGAGACCGGTGACCTCAACTGCACTGTGGACATAACCTCGGCACTATCCTCTTCCTTTGGAGGTAATCCCACAAGTCCTCTTTCGTCCATCAGAGGGCTCGGCTATCGACCGAATTCAACCTCTTCAGTGTGCTGCTTTTCATACTAGGATGTATCCTCTTGGACTTCTCATCGTCTACTACTTCATCGGGGCAAGGACCCTGTCCGTTAATCTGCTAAGATCCCTTAATTTATGTCTTTCTTATTCTTTAAGAATCTGTTCTTCGTGACTCTATCGTCCGGTGTTCTATGATCACCGATTTGAATCACAGGTTTCTTTCCGTGCTGCGGGACAGTTGGCACCATTGTTTGCTGGGCATCGACTTTTACAGCAGCCGTTGGTGATGTTGGTAATGGCAACACCAGTTACATCACCTTGTTCTGCATCGTGAAGTTCACCACAATTTGCAGGTTCGCCAGCTTGTTTGGCAGGTCCTTTACTTTGTCATCCTTTTGCATGCATCAGACCTTCCACGCTTGGAAATCACTCTCGTTGTAATACTCCTCTTGGTTGCCCCTCTTCGGGCTATTACAGCCCTTAGTGGCGTTGTTCACTTCCGGGTTTACCTCTTGTACTTCATCATCGTTGTCTTCTTCTTCGGTGTTTAGATCAACATACTTTTCGTCCTTGCTGTACATGTCATCCCCAACTCTCACTTCTTACCCGACGTTGGCTATCTATTCCTGCTAAGTTCCCACAAATTGTGTCAAATTGTGGGTGTTGATTTCTGACCTCACAACCAAACTGATTTCTTTGCCGAAATCTAAGGAACTTAACTAGAGAGCACACGGAAAAATAGATTAAGCCAAGCACCTACACACAATAAAGTAAGAAATATCGCAACGGTTCGTCCACCCAGAGACACTCTAACAATCAAGTCAGTAATTTATTTCACAGGATATCAACTCAAGTACTCAATTCACAATAATAATACCTTACACCCAGCCTCACTTTATAACCAATAGTGCCCTCGTCCCCTAAAAGTATCACTTCATAGGACTCAAATATAACACTTATCTCAGACTCTCAACTAAATAAGAATGACCACACTTAAGAGTATCATCTTTATCGAAACAAGGAGTCTCAACTTACTTAGGACTCTTGCCCTCTATCAGACAATCTCAGATTCTAATCAGCTTGCTTGGTTCCATTTTTCCAAAAACACTTTTCAGAAATTCTACTTTCTTATTTTTCGTGTTTTTACTAAATTTTCTTTAATATTTTAAGTAATTTTTTTACTTTTTAGACATACCTAACATAAGCATACCTAAAAAGTAAAAAACTTGTGAAAAAAAACTTTTTGAAAATTCACCAAATACCAAAAATACAAAAACAAATATGAGAATTCAGTACATTTTTTTATATTTTTATGTATTTATTAATTTTTTCACAAATTTTTTACTTTTTAGATGCATCTAAATAAGGTGCATTTAAAAAAGTAAAAAAATTGTTTAAAATTTTAAAAATATTCACTAAAAACAAAAAAACACGAAAATAAAAAAACTTTAGGCTCCGTTTGGTAAACCTCTCAAATTATAGTTCCACCCATTGATTTGAGTGTATTGTTTGTTTTGAGCTTTCAAATCATAATTCTACACTCATTTCTCAAAACTCAATTCAAAACATAATCATTACTTTTCAAAACTCACAACTAAATACATAATTCAAAATTCTTTTCAAAACTTAATTCAAATCAATATTTTAATTTTGTTAAGATTTTAAATATTTTAATATTTAAATATGTTACGATTTTTTTAATTTTTTAATTTTTTGAATATTTTTAAATATTTTAATTTCAAAATATTAGGATTTTAATTTTTTAAAATTTTAAATATTTTATAAAAATAAATTCAAACTCTATTTTATAAAAATATTTTTAAATATTTTAATTTTTTTGTTATGTATTTGGTTACGATTTGAGTGTAGAGTTGTGAAAGTAGTATGGAGTTTCGAATTATGTATTTGGTTATGAGTTTTAAAAATAATTTCTTAATTGAGTTTTGTTTTATGTGTTTGGTTACGATTTGAGTGTAGAGTTGTTTTTAAATTTAAAATATTAACATTTAAAATTATTTTAAATTTTTGAATATTTAAATTATTTAAATTTTTACAATTTAAATTTTTTAAATATTTTTTTTTGAATATTTATTTTAATTTTTTACTTATTAAATTTTTTAGATTATTTAAATTATATAAATATTTATGATTTAAATTTTTTGAATATTTATTTTGAAAAAAAATTATTTCCTTTGTAATATTTTCAATTAAAAAATTGATTAATGTTATTTTCTGTTAATAATAATTTTTTTTAATTGAATTTTAAAAAGAGTTTGTTTATGAGTGTTGATCAGAATTTTCAATAGTGTGAAAGTAGAATGTTTTGTTATGAGTTATAACAATTTGAATTAAGTTTTGAAAAGTCTTTCTAAAACTCATAACCAAACAAATTTTCTTACTTCACATGTCAAATCAAACTTTCAAAACTTAATTTCACATTCAATTCAAAACTCAATTCAAAAACCATAACCAAACAACTCAAATCATAATTTCACAACTCACAAATTCAAAATACAACTTATACTCTTAAATCATATTTACAAAACTATACCAAACACAATCTCAATTTTCAAAAAATTTAATTCAAAAAATTCAAATCAAACCCACTAAATATTACCACAACATGTCTAGACACTATCATAACAACCTTGGTATATGGCTCATTCACATGGCATCTCAGATGGTCACCTCAACCCCTTGAACAATCCAAAAATATGTCCCCACACTATTTATTAATTAAATCACTAAGATGAAATACTTTTCTATTAGTTTTTAACAACATTATCACTAAATAATATAGCATATTGATTATTTTTTTAAAAATTCAAAAATTATCAACATAGTACTCAAATATATGACGTGGCAAGTCTTAAATTCTACGTAAAAGTGAACACGTGTGGATTAATTTGAATTTGATAATGCTACCTACATCCATTAACGAGAAATGCTAAGGTCAAGTTTGGCATAACCTAAATAATACAAAAAGTCAAAAAGTCACTATCCTATTTAAGTCACATCATCTTATTTAAATCATATCACCTCTCTAACACATCACATCAAACCCAACCCAAACCCAACCCATATAAGCCAATAAGTCAAAAAGTGCACTTTTTTAGAACATCTCAAACCAACCCTAAAGGTTATAAATTTTTTATCAAATAAATGTTCAAATGTCTCACATGAGTGTGGGTGCGGGGTCACACTCATGTGAGATATTTAATCATTTATTTGATAAAAAAATTAGAACCTCTAGCATTTTTCATTAATATTACGGGCTCCACACTTATATAAAACATTTAATTGGTAGAATATTTGATATTCCTAATATTATCTCCCATTAATATACATATTAATATATTAATTAATGTTATAATATTGTTATTAGTCACATTTTATACGAGGAATTAATATTTAAAATCATACGAATGCCAAATGCCACTACATATATCATTATTCATCCGAATCAGGTCAAAATCAGAACGTCACAAACTTTATAGGGAGAGAAAGAGAAGGGGAAAGGGAACGAGAGAGAGAGAGAGAGAGAGAGAGATGGGGTGTTTTGCTTGCTTCGATGGTGGCAAGCAACAGAGAAAGGAAGAAGAACGGTTAGCCTCTCTAGAAGCTCGATCTAAAGCTGCCGATGCCGCCCAGAAGAGGCAATCTCTCTCTCTCTCTCTCTCTCTCTCTCTCTCTAATATATGTATACATATCGTTGTATATCAGTCTCATACTCAATCGCTGATCGTGTCTTGATGTGAATATTGTTAAATGTTCCAGTTTGTTGTCTTATCATGCTCATATTTGGAACTATTGCTATGTTGGGTATAACTCTGTTAGGGTTTATCTAGATATTATCATTGGGATTTCGAGATTCAGTGATCGAATGAAACCACAGAAAAAATTATTTGTCAATTTCAGGAAAATATGGATAATTCGGATATTTTTCAAGAGTTCTCTTTGTTCTGTTTGAAGGACTATTTGTGTCTCTTTTGTAGGATTGATTTTAAGAGTTTTGGGAATCTTATAAAGTTATTATGGCTTTGTGGTTACTTTGTTCCAACGAAAGGATATTAAATTTGACTGCTATTGGAAGGGCAGTGGAACAATTTCATTTCTATGAGTATTCCCCTTAAGACCCTTTTATTTAATATGGAAAAAATAATTTTGGAATGGTATTTATTCATTGACCAAAAGAAATGTGGAATATAAGGAACCATTATTTTGTTGGTTTTTAAATTCCACTCTGATATCCCGCTTTCCTTATTATCTGTAGCGTTAGATTTGCGCGGAAGTATGGCAAGAAGCTAGCCAAAATGTGCAATATAAATAGGCCATGCTACTGATGGCTTCCTTGTTCTAATAATTCAAACATCTTGTAACAAAACCCTCAATATTGTAACTCTGGCCTTGAAATACATGAAATACATATCCATTACTTTAAAAAAAAAAAATTAAACGTTGAGTACTGCTCAGGTATGACATGGATATGGCTCGGATGCGTCATGAGTGTTGAGAATATAATATAACTAATAAATTTGTCCATCTCTCTAACAACTTAAGCTTTTAGATGGGTTGATGATCAACAATTTAATATGGTATTAGAGCAAACAATAGATTATGTGTTCAAATCTCACTGCCTACCCAATAATTAAAATACTTGCACGTGTTTGGCCTGCTATGAAGAAAAGCCTGGCCACATGTGAGCGTGAATGTTGAGAATATAATATAAATAATAAAGTTGCCCTTCTCTCTAATTGCTTAAGCTTTTAGATGCGTTGGTGGTCAACAATTCAATAATGAATATTGAACTCTGGTTTGTACCTTGCTTTAAATATATATATATATATATATATATATTTTGCATTTGGTTTATAATTGTTATATATTATGCACTACTACAATTCAAGTATATATTATTTTATTGATGTAGCCTGGCTGTACATGTATCCTACTTTCTTCTAGTTTTTTTGTATTTGCGTACCCGTAAATGTACCCATACTGGCATTTGTACCCATATATGTGCTTCATAGCTTGCCAAAAACATAAATACTAAATGCATGCGTTCCAAAATTACATGTTAATTACCATTTGTAAGCACCTATGTTACATGGACTCGGGTATGAGTGTCAGATGTAGCTATGTATGTAGAGATCAGACTCACCAAATCATAATTTAATGGTACGCGACTCGGCAAAAAAGCGTCATATTTTTATATTTTTAATTATGTGGGACATAATGGTGTTATATGTAATTTACAATGTCAAAAAAAATATTTATAGCAATTATACAACAATATTTACATATAATAATAGTGATATACACAATTATATAAGAAGTATCCGTTGAAAAGTATCCGGCACATATCTCATACCATTGTTGGAGTGTCAGGTGTCCAACATGGGTATTTGATTTATTTTGAAGAGTCCATGTAACATAGGTAAGGACTACATTTGTGTGTTGAATGCTTGCTGTCAATAAATACCATGAAAGTGTGTGTAATGTCCAGGGTGGCTGGCATGAGGCTTGCATTTCCATTACTGTTATATTCAAGAATGCGTGGGAAGTTTTTGTTCACATTGTTTAGACATTCTATAGTTAATTAAAACGACAGGGAGAGAAGAACAGGGAATGAAAATGTATTTGCTCTGTGCTGTATTGGTCAACATTTGTCTATGACCATAATTGCAGGCAGGAGCAATTTGATCAGTCTGCTGCAGGAAAAGCTGCACGTGCACAGCTAGCAGCAGCTGCAAAGCAATCTGCAAACTCTAACAAAGGCGAACCAGTTCTTAAGGTATTGCTTGATTGCTAGTATTAATTGATGCTATTTGTTTACTGCATCAATACCTTGTTGTATTATTTGTCCTTGTGGTCTGCAACGTTGGCAGCCACCTGCTTATGATGCTATTCTCCCCCTAATTATAAGCACTTCATCACATTAATATACGTTGATTTGAACTTTTATTGTTTAATTCTGTGGATGCAGTGGCAGGTGGGATGAATGATTCAACTTTTTCTCTACTCAACGGCAACCACTTATTGTGAGTTTATGCATCTCTACACAGTGTATTCTTGCAACCGATTAATTAATGTTATGCAATCTTTGATTCTTCTTTTTGTGGGTATGATCACCCGCTATATCATGTAGCATTTGGCCACAATTTCGTCTTGTATGTTTCTCAACAACTGTGACCTACATTTCTTTGATTGCACACAAAAATCATTCATGGCAGGCTTTCAATCAATTGATTGTACATGCAATTAATTTATCTTCCATTGATATTATCGTATTGACTAGAAGGATGAAGACTAGAATTTGATAAACAGTGACCAATATATATATATATATATTGGAAAAGTAAAGAAATACTTAAAAGAAAGAGCATAGATACATCATATAAGGGCTATGAAGCACGGACACCTCTCCAAAGGTAGCGTACACGTGTTGGACACAGACACACAGTGGACACGTGTCGGACACTCTACAAGAGGTGTCCTTTTTTTTGAATTTTGAATTTTGTCAGTTGGACACACGAGGATACGCGAGGAAAAATAAACTATCGAAGGCCCTGCAGATGTTCAAAGATGTCGATCGAAGGCACTTATGAGGTATTCTTCTTATTCTCTTCGTTTTTCTTCGCTTTCTTTTCAATTCTGTTCTTCTTCTCTTCAATTCAGCTCTTCTTCTTCTCTTCGATTCTACTTCTCTCTTCTTCTCTTCGATTTTGCTTATGCTTCTCTCTTCTCTTTTCTTAATTTTGTTTTCTTTTCTGTTTCTCTTTTCTTAACTTCGTTTTTCTTCTTTTCTTTTCTCTCTCCTCTTGGTTCTCTGTTTTCGGTTTTTATTTTTTCCTCTTCTGAGTAGCCCTTTTTTTATTTTTTTGGGTATCCCTTGTTTGCTGAACCTAAAATGCATAGAACAAATTAGTTTTATTTTATTTGAAGAAAAAAATAAAATTTTATTAAAATCTTTTGGGTATTATGTTTATTAATTACCTTCCGATGATTTTTTTTTTTTTTTTTTAAATTTTAGACATATAATAAATAAATAAAATTATATATAGTGAACGTGTGCCCAGTGTGTCGTGTCCTCCGTTTTTTTAACATTTGTGTATCCGCTTATCCGTGTCATGTCCCGTGTCTGTGTCCGTGTATCATAGTATAAGGGGCATACCCCAAGCTAGATAAGGATAGACACGATCTAAGACATGGGGACCATCCAAGAGGTAAAAGGCCATGTGTAACCATATGAAACTAACAAAAGACAAAAGAAACAAAGCTACTACCATTTGTCCTGCATACAAAGCCAAAGTCTAATATCTACCATAGGACAAAGGCTCTATTAGATATTGGCCACAAAATGGAGACAGGATGCCCCCACTCATGTTGTAACCAAGTGTTTGGCTGACTGTTGCTTATACCTTTGAGACGACAAAGTCTAGTTCTCACATTCATGATCGCTTCTTCAAGATGATGTACACAGTGGCCGAAAGCAAGCATTGGCACAACAATTTGATCATGTTCTTCCCGTTCAGCTGTGTAGCTGCCCACTCAACCAGGTCCTTCCATTTTAACTTGGCCATTGAACATTACACTTTTGACCTTGTTGTTTCCATGTCCGTCCAATGAAGGAACAGTCAAAGACAAGATGTTTATGATCCTCAATTTGGTATCTTCAAAAGACAACTAACAGAGGAAACAATTCCATATGCCAAAACTGTGACCAATTAAGTAGTCATTGCTACTGAATTACATAAGAAAACAATTTATGTCATTTGAATGAATAAAAACGTGAAAATGTTTGGGTAAAACAAAATACCAAACCAAAGTGGTGTTGGTGTGGGTGTGGGTGCTTGAGAGATTTGCATAGGCTGCCCAAAACACCTCTCACGTGTACCTGGTGCAAAGATTAAAGATACAATTTGTTCAAAGATTCTATTGTAACCCGGTATGATCTCCTCTAGAAGTCCAACATGTTCACGGAAACTATTTCATACTATTGATCTTTAAAGTATGGATGGATATGAGATACAGGATATGGGTATGACACCGTATGGATATATTGATGCAACAATTCCTAATAAAATTGAATATAAATAGATTGAAGATACACTACTAATATATAAAATCTATATGAATCTTTATACATGTATAAATTAAAAGGGAAATTTGTCATGGAATTTGCATTTCAATTCGTTAGTTGGGTTCAAATATGTGTCTCTACAGCTAAGTTTTCTGTGGTTATTAATGCGGAGTTAGTGTACTACTTTATGGGGGCTAAAGAGCTTAGGCAAGGGGATCCTATTTCCCATTATCTGTTCTTATTAGTAATGGAGGGTTTTTTGGCTATCTTAAGGAATAAGATGGAAGTGGGAAACTTCACTTATAATCCTAAATGTGCTGCTTTAACAATTAGCCATTTGGCCTTTGCTGATGATATGTTTGTTGTGTGTGGTGCTGATCAAGAATCCCTTTCCATTGTTAAGGAGGCTTTGGATGATTTTTATCACTTTTCTGTTCTGCAGCCTAACTTGCGAAAGAGTTCTTTGTTTTTCTCTGGTGTGGCTGCTGAGTTACAATATGTCTTATGTGCCATTTTGCCTATTCTATTGGTACTTATCCTGTGAAATACCTTGGGGTTCCACTCATTTCTTCTAGATTGTCTTATCATGAAGATTGTTTACAAATTCTTCAGAGGATTAAAAGCTGGTCCAATAAGTTACTGTCCTTTGGTGGTAGATTACAGCTTGCTCAATCTATTCCATGGAGTATGCAGGTTTATTGGTGCTCTCTTTTCATTTTGCATCAAAGGATTTTAAAGGAAATTGAAGGAGTAATTAGATATTTTCTATGGACAGGGACTGCTTTGAGGCAAACAGGTGCTAAAGTTAGTTGGGATTTTGTTTGCTCTCCTAAATTGGAAGGTGGCTTAGGTTTCGAACCTCAAAAGCTTTGGAATAAAGCTTACATGCTTAGACATCTGTGGGCCATTAGTTAAAAAGCAGACACTCTTTGGGTTAAATGGATTCACACTTTTGTAATCAAGCATAAGAATTTGTGGCATATGACCCTTCCTCAAGATTCTTCTTGGACAATTAGGAAATTGTTCAAATTAAGAGTCTTGGCTCAGCCTTTAATCAGATATATGATTGGGGATGGAGGTGAGACTCTTTATAGTTGGATAATTGGCATCCAATTGGCGCTCTGTATAAAATCTATGGTGAAGGAGTGGTTAGGAATTTAGGAAATTCCCTACTTGCTAAGGTTTCTTCCATTATCAGGAATGATCATTGGAGATGGCCTAGGCTTAGAAACAGATCTATTCTTCATATTATTGAGAACACCCCCTGCTGATTTTTTGCCTAGTCCTGAGCATGGGAATGGAGGTTCCTTCTCTTTGTGTTCTTTGCAATTTGTCATATGAATCTCATGATCGCCCCTTTTTTTAATGCCCTTATTCTGGTTGGATTTGGGGGCAAGTTTTGAGGAGATTTCAGGTCTCTAGAGTGCCTATGAACTGGTCTGCTGATTAGGACTGGTGTGCATCTTAAATTTGAGAGGCAAGAGCTTCAAGGCTACAGTGTTTAAGCTTGCCCTTTCTGCTGCTATATATCATATTTGGCTTGAAAGGATATGATTTTTAGCAATAAAGCTTTTGATGCTTGTGCTGTTTTCCATACTGTGGAAACAGATGTGAGGGATAGAATTTGTTCATGGGCTGGGGTGCATAGTTCTCCTTCTAATAGGGATGTTGTCAAGCTTGGAACCTTCGATTGAGAATCTTGAGCAGTAGAATTTAGCTCTCTTTTCTTTTCTTTTTTCTTTTTTTTTTTTTTGGCTTGTCTTTGGGCTTGTATTATACTTTCTTTCTTGAATAAATTTTACCTTATTAAAAAAAAAAAGGGAAATTTGTCATAAATATTTTTTTCTTTATTTATCTACCAAATATTCTCCATTTCAAACTTATGATATATTCACAGAAGAAATCTTAAGGTTATATTACGGCTAAATGAACTTGAACCAGGATTTAATCTCACTATTTCCCAATTCTTCTTATCTAAGCAGTAAGCAAAGTAATAAAAGCTACTCTTGTATTCATTTTAACAATTGTATTCTAATGCAATGCAAGCAATACCACATGTTAGTTTCGAGATAGATCGCATACATGATCTAAGAGTATCTAAAAGGCACCCAATATGTTTTTTAAATTAATGAAAATTACTTCTAAATTATAGATATATTTAGGAAATATCAGATATGTATCCGTGAATATTCGAGGAGTATTGTGTCCAATATGGATACAACTCTCTTCTAGAAATATTCATGCTTCATAGTTGTCGGTCTTGCAAATTACTATAGCAAACTTAGGTGATTTAGATGCATTATCCATTTTTCATAAGCTGACCATAGTTTCGCTGCTCAAAAATGTGTACAAGGAGGAATTCAATAGTACTTGCCTGCCATTCAACTATGAGAAACAACTGAAAATGCCTTAATTGGAGGTCGGATTCAATTTATGCTATTGGACAGTTGATGATAGGTAAATTGTCATTCACATATTCACTTCTAAACTTCATCAAGTGGAAAGTTCACGATCTCTCTTTTGCGATCATGTCATAATAAAAAAATCTTACTAAATTATTTCTAAGTGTTCTCTGATTATACCAAAAAATGAAAATATTCTTTCATATATTTCAGAAAAATAGTGAAATTTGAAAAAAAAAAAAAACTGTCTTGTTATGTGAAAAATCATATTTTAATTGAGGGAAATAAATTCCAGCTACTTAATGAACGATTTTGTTCAAGTCCAAATAGTATGTGTGCTCAAGGGAATTCTGTTGGGGCCAAATTTTATATGAGCTTTTGGTATATAAAAGAGAAAAGGGAATTAGGAAGATATTTGCTTTCTTTCAGTCTCATTGAAGGCATGCCTATCTCTAAGAACTATTGGTCATCATATTTTGGGGATATGAGAAATAAGATGGTGTCGTACAGTTCAAGAGCACTTCTTATTTGTTCAGCGGCATTAGCCACTAGTCCCATAAATTTTTTGAATATTTAGAGATGGTTTCTCATTTTTCCAATCTTATTGTTTGTATTTTAATGAATTATTTTCAATTCTCTAGAGCTGCAATTATATTGCTCTTATAAAAACAGCAACCAAATATTGCCTCTTATATGGAAGTATGGGAAGGTTATCTCTGTGTTCACCTGTTAAAAGCTTAGGCTCTTGATAGTTGGATAGAAATCATAGACCACATTTAATGTATCCTTGAACCACGACATTGATGCAACAATATCAGCACATTCATTGGAACTATTGGGCATGCTATTCAATATTATGTGGTTGTCTTTTCTCTACAATTTCCATCCAACTAGCAATTCCCAAAATTAGATAAGCTCTATAGATGGTAACTCACAGCAGAAAGTCAAATTTATCAGTTTAATGGACTGCAAAATAGAAGAGAAGAGTATGTTAATGATTCTAAAAGTTAGTGATCCTCACTGGTTTTGTTTTTGTTTTTTTGCAGTGTTTGAGAGTACTAATCTCTCTTTCATTAGTCTTCTTGTGTTCGTCAAGCCTTCAAAGCGTCTGCTGTAAATGGTTCTTTTGTCCAGATCTACTTGGAATAAATAATTATGTAATACAAACAGAAAAATAAAGTTGAATGTAAAATGCATCTTTGGTCCAGGTCTGATCTCTGTATAGAAAAATTTGTGAAAATAAAGTTGAATGCAAATGCTTCTGTGGTCCAGGTCTGATCTCTGTACAGCAAAATTTGTTACCATTTCTTCTTTGTTTTCTTGTAGATTATATCATTCTCCATCATATTGTTGATAGAATTCAGTTGATTTTTCCTTCTAATTTCTCCTTTGGATGATGGGATCTAGCAAGGTAATTATTGTAGATGTTGAATCTTTCTTCAGCTAAGTTTACACTGCAGCCATTGCGACCTTTATCCAAGTCTTTCAAATGGAGAATGAAATTGTTCCAAATTTCCAACACAGCAATCTAAATGATGTGTTCTGCCGTTTTCTGCAATGTGTATCACTTTTATTTCTCTCAAGAATTGAACTTTACTGTCACCTTTATATGCTGCTCTCGTTTTCATTCCTCTTTGTAACGGCTTTTACACAACAATAGCAGTGCATACTCTAAATGTAGTTGAAAATTGGAATGAAAAGAAGGTGATTTCTGTGTGGTTTGTGTTTTATAACATCCCAACTTTCAGCAAGCCACTTTGGTCAGTGTAGTATGACAGCCTCAAGATAAGTATGGAATTTATGATCCCATTTATGAATTCTGTAGTTAGTAGCTGTCATACTCAGAACTTTTATGGTCAGACCTACTATCATTTCTGATTTAATTTTTCGGTTATGAATGTGCAACCGAATTTTCTTCAAGGGACTTGTGTCATGCTGAGCCCAAGGAGTACATTACGGCTGAGAATGGAAGCTTTTTCCTTTGATTACCTTGAACAATGATAGTGCCAACCACTCTAATTCCTCATGGACGAGTTCTAATTCTTACAGCTTAACCACTCTTTTAGATGTAATTTGATTCAGAAGAAAATAACCCAAACAAATTCTATCAATAAATACATTTCTTGCAGTGTGGGTTGGTTGATGTTACAAGACCTGGTAAGTACACTTCTTTCTTCCATTCAATCCAATGTCCCTCACCTTGATAAATCAATATACAAAATCTTTGATTACTATAAACTTTTCTCTGGTGAACCAATCTGGTGAATCTTTTGGGCATTAGATTCTTGAAACATCACAAAAAGCTCGCTGATCTTCAAACTTGCCTTACCAGTCATACAAAGCTTTGAACAGGAGCTGACATCTTTAACTCATGCGCAGCTTGGAAAAAATCCGCTGCTTGCTGCATTGAGCCTTCCATCTTATAAACCAATCCAAGGTTCCACCATGCATCGTGGTTCGTGGGTTCTAATCGCAGAGCATTCATTAAGAAGCTTCTTGCGATGGGGAGAGATCGACTGCTCATTTTCATCAGTACAACTGCAGTTGAAACAATAGTTGGGACATAATCGGGTTCTATTGACAATGCAATTGTGAAGGCAACAAGGGCTTCTTTGTATAACGATTGAGCTTTGAACAAAGTACCTGTAAATGAGTTCAAAGAATCATACAGGTAAGCTTTTCTGTTTGTACATTCATGTATAAAGAACTTCATTGAATTGGAATTGAAGTCGAACCTGTTGTATGCCAATTTTCAGGGGAGTAAAATTCAAGCGACTTGGCTTTGCCTAGACAAATTTCTGCATTGGGCCATGACTCGAGCTCTGTATAGACCTTAGCCAAATCTTGCCAAGTTTCCATTTCGAATATTCTTTCCTTCAATAGCTATGCAAGAAAAGAAAATTCTGAGAGACAACTTTTCTTCTAAGATTGCTCAAGGAGAAATGTCATAACCAGTACACCAGAACTCCCAAGGCTGTACCAATTTTTTTATTTTTTATTTTTCTGGAGAAATAACTATATAATATCATATATAAGAGATAACAGAGTTCAACTATCAGTTAAGGCCACTCTTGCCAACACATGAGCCACCTTTACATGCCGTCTAGAAACCTTAGTAATACAAACATAATCTAACATATTACAAAAATAACATATATGTTGCAACAGATTCCGTAGATCCCATTCAGTCCTGCTACCATCTTGCAACCGCTGGACTAACTGTAGTGAGTCCTTGCTTTAACATTGTTCAGCACACACCATTTTATATACTTCAAAATAAAGCTGTACTTGGATCTTGGATTTTTTTTTTTTAAAAAAGATTTTGAGAGGAAAATGCGAAATAGCCTAGGACTTGTTTGGTTATATTTTTGTTTTCATCGTTTATGCTTTTCGTGTTTTTGGACAAAAATAATGACTCATTTTTTACTTAGCAAAAAATAAAAAAATAATGACTCATTTTATTTTTACATGAAAACAATTTTCAAAAATTCAATAACAACTCTTTTATGTTTCCTAAAAACTGGATTTTTTTTAATTAAAAAACAAAAAGTTAGTCAAACAAGTTTCTTTATTTTGCAAAACACAAAAATAAAACCAAACACAAATACATTTGTGTTTTCCTAAGACTGTATTTAATTCATGAATTTGGGGAGAGATTTAAAAAAGAAAAAGGAAAAAAGAAAAATATGTATGAAACTAGGTGAAATGTAAATATGTTTTATTTACATTTCACCCACTTTTTTCTTTTCTCCTTTCAAATCTCTTTCCAAATCTTTAAACCAAACAAAACCTAAGAAAATATTGTTTTGGAATTCCTTTCCGCTCTACTTGCATAAATAAGTCATGCACACGAGGGGTCGTAACAAATCTAATGACACCATATGAAATATATAGGGCAAATTATAGCAAATCCCAACTATAACCCAATTCCTAGTTGTCCCCCTAACGTTTAAAATTCGACAGTTTACCCCATTCAAGTATATAATTAATTCGGAATGTCATTGACGCTGTTAATGAAAATTATTATTATACCTTTTTACCCTTTGATTATAACTTTATAAGCATCTTCCTAATCAGCACCTAATTTCTTTTACAACCAATCACCACCTACTCACTACTTGTTCTGGTGTCTGCAAGTTCATGGAAGTGAACTTTTTCCATCTTTAATCTAATATCTCAAGAATATCATCTTAAACTGGTAAAAAGAATAAGGGTAGTTGCATCTTAAAAATGTAATTAATATGTCATATGGTGCTCATGTGGCATGTTTTCATCTAAACCCTATCAGATTACGAATGGAAGGGGTTTAGTGTCACAAGGTTAAACTTGAAGGGAGTTAATTTTCGAGTTTTAAACATAAGTGAGTAACTCAAAAATGGATCACAGTTAAGGAGGGTTTAGTGTAATTTACCCAAATATATAATTATAATTCAATACTCTTTTTTAAAAGATTTCCAATCAAACCTTAGTTTAATCATTTTACATTACAAATTTATGAAGTATACTAGTATATTTTAGAGAAATTTCAGATTATACGCACCTCAGAATCGAAGTCCTTACTTTGTTCTTTTTGTGCTTGAATAAGAGCTAGCAAAACTCCGTAGCTTTCTATTGCTTGCTTGGGCTGTTCTTGAGCAATCTGAAGAACAGCTTTTAATCTAAGAAGTTCAAACTGGTCAATCCTTCCAGTCTCATCCAAAGCAAGATCAACTACAGTTTCAGCATCAGTGATTTTTTGCTCAGCAGATAATATTAGAGCTAATAGCTTCCAACTTCTTCTCGAGCTTCCAGATACCATATCGGAGTACATCATTACATTATCGAACGCTGCACTCAGATTCCTTTGCGTGGCGTTTTCTAACCCAAGGCTAAACATTATCTCTGGGTCCTCCTCACCAATTAGAGCAGCACGGTTTAGCGAATTTAATGCTTCTCTATGAAAGCCAAGTCTTTCAGAATCTGAAACGGTAATTCTTGCTAAATTCCCATAACAAATGCCGAGGAATTTGTGAGCCTGATCCGAGAAATGCCCATTTCGATGACTTGATAAATCAATCACTCTACGAGCGAAGTTTATTCCCTTGCGAGCATGTTTTGGATGTTGTGAACACAATTTTGCCCCCAACAAAAATGAAGGCAAGTGGGGTTCGTGCCTTGCTTCTGAATACCCTGAAACCTTCTTTAGAAGGTTCAATGCCACCTCATTTTGACCCACAGCACTATAACAAAGAGCAAGAAAGTACCACCTCTCAGCTCGAGTGTATGTACCCGGAATGGCCTGTTCCACATGCGCTGCTAGAGGTTCGAATTGCCCACACATGGAGAGTGCAAAAGTCAGATGATCGATAATTTCACAATCCCACTCTATTTCACCATATAACACCTTCTTCATAAGGATAAACAGCAAAAGAATTGCTTCCTCTGTGTTAGTTTTAGGGGTGGTTGAAGCCAATAGTTGGAACTGATGTGGAAGGCTTGTTTCAACACCTCCATAGAGCAATGTGGCCGCTAAGTCTTTTTGTACACCGGCCAACCTTAGTGGGTCCAAATTCCAAGGCCTGACTAAAGCCTGTCGATATGCAGTTATCGCTTCATCGAGAAAACCTGCTTGTATCCACAACTTGGGGAGCAACCCTAGTGCTTTGTGGAACATCTCTTGCAGCTTAACGTCTTCACCAATGTCCTGTGGCATTCCATTAGGCAATGCCGATTCAACTATTTCCAAAATTGTTTTGCACTCCTCGGCAGCCTCTATAAATTTAAAACATAAAAAATGTGAATAATCTATGCAACATATCAATAAACGTTCAAACCATTGCAGTCTACAGTTGATCAGTCATCCTGAATTCTACCCAAAGAACTAAATTGATACAAATAATTAGCCATCTGGCACAACTAGGGCCGCAAGCCAAGTTGAGCTGAGTAGTATGTCGTTCAAATTTGGTTTGAAAACTTAACGATTTTCAAAACATGTTCAAACTTGACTTGTTTACAAAAAAAATCAATCTTGAATGAGCTTTTAATGAGTTGAACATGAGTCGAGCTGAAATCGTTTGGTTTTTTATAGTGTATTTATGTTTATCAAGCCAAACGGTAGTTTATGCAAACTTGGTTTAAAAACTTAACAAGTTTTAAAAAATATATTCACCAACTTACCGAGTTGATCTTGAACAAACTTTTAACAAGCCAAACACGAGTTCAAGCCGAGTAGCTTGGTTCATTAGGACAACAAATTCCCACAAATTGGAAGGCCATACTTATTCATCCCATTCAAAATTTATTTGAAAAACAATAACATTTGAAGTATTCATGTTCTTTAGTTGTGATATAGGCCGATAAATAAGTTGTCACAAGAGAGAGAATGGATATACCTTTAAATCGCCCAAGCTGCTCCAATGATTTTGCTTTGAGAAAAATTGCTTCAAGAAGAAGGCTCACAGAATGCAGTGTCATTACACCTAACAACACATTTTTGCCTTTGGAACGAGGTTTTTGTTGCTGGGTTCTCTCCATGATAGCCTTAGTCATCCTCGGCGACAAAGTTCTAATGTCGATCCCCCGGTACACTTGAAAGGCAGCATCAAAATTCCCTCTTTGGTATTCAAGTCTCCCCAGCAATGCCCTAGCTTCCTGCAACCCAAACACCAAAATTCAATGCCATAAAAAACCAGTAAAACGCAATGTACTAATTAGCAACATTGATTGAGAAGTCTCACAAACACAATTTAGATAAAACACACTTCATAATTCAATGAGAGAGCCTCCTTCAAAGTGGACTCAGCTTCATCCACTTGGGCATCTTCAAGTTTTGAGTCCCAGTCCCCGGTCCTCGACGAAAGCCCACTTGCTGAGAAATCCCGTGTCGCCAGCGATTCCGGTGATTCCGGCGCGGGTTCTTCCAACTTCTGCTCTCCTGAGCAATAACACAACATATTCTCCACAAAGGAAAATAATTTTTTGGTCTCTTTTCAGATTTTTGACTATATATAATAGTCAACTTTCACCAAAAAACTGAATTGAAACAGTCTTCAACAAAACCCTCAATTTGCAAAGAAGCAAGAACATTGAAGCCCTGTCATAGATATATAGACTTGGAAATGAGAACTATATAACAGCTATTGAAGCACGTAAATCATCAGATAACATAACATTTGGGACAAAGTTGTATGCATTTTTTGATCATAAAACAGAGGTTCAAAATCAGAGAACAATGAAGATCAAAATGTCGTAATGGCCAATCCGATTTTGATCAGAAAACTGAACAATATAGAGAATATAGAACAAAACCCATGTCAGATAATCCTCGAAGAACCTCATAAAACTCGGAGAAACAAAAGGAATTTGGGACAAAGTTAAAAGAGATGAACATCAAAAGAACAAGAAAAGTTGAAAAAAAAAAAAGCAGCAAGACACAAGAGAAACAGAGCTTTGGACATACCATAAAACCAAAAACCCATAGGTAGCCCTGAAAGCAACTTGTAAGGTCTCTGTTTCTCTGTCTCTCTTCTCTTCTCTTCTCTTCTCTTCTCTTCTGGTTTTGAGGCAAAGCCAAATGATGTGCAAGTTAGGTGAAGGCAGAGATTATCTATTGGGTGTAGAGATCTGAGTTTGATAGCCCATTTTTTATAATTTTTTTGGGTTCTTTTTGTATCTGCTCAGCTTATTGTTAAGAGAGATTTGCAGATATGTGGTGGGTGGGTAGTGGGGTGCAATGGTGGTTGGAAGGTTTGCAGAGGTGTTTGTATATATATGGGGTTATATGTTTTGGTTTGAATTTTGTTTGGTTTATGTATTTATGGAAAGACTTCAAAGGACAGTGATATGGGCAGGGCACCACATGGTTTTGTTGAAACATGACTACTCCTTTCAGCTTTTCAATTAACTTTTTCAATTTATTTTTTTCAAAAAATCTTTATTCGCAAGTAAGGTTTTTTTTTTGGGTCACATTTGTGCATTATGGCCTACTTTGGAAATATGATTAAAAATTAATTTTTTAATTTTTTTTGGTTTTTTTTTAAAAAAATATATAAAAAATGAGAGAGATGATGTGATTTAAAATGAGTTAAAAGCAGAAAGATGACTTTTAACCATCTTCCTAAAATACCCCTATATATCTAGTTAATTTTGGGTATGTAGCACACTTGTTTTGGTCATGTAAAACTTTGTTTTAAAAATTTAGGATAAATTACACTTACACCCGTTGAGGTTTGGATTTAATACATATCACTCTCTAACGTTTGAAAAATTATACTAACTCTCTTGCCATTGTAATTATTTAGACGGAATGAATATATTGAACTTGTACACTCTCTCTTTTCTTACTTTGGTTTACTTCTTTTATTTTATTTTTTTCATTTCTTTTGCATTATTTTTTTTTCTAAAATAATTTCTTCTATTTTTCTATTAGGAGTTGTTATTTTTTATATAAGTAGATGGTTTGTAAAATGAGACTATTAATTACAGAGATGAGAATGTAATTTCCAAAATATTAATGAGTGAGATGTAATTGAATCAAATCTTAAGAAGTGTCATTGTAATTTATCTAAATTTTTAATTCTTTTTATAAGTTTATATTGTAAGTCAATTTTGGATGTAATTAGGTAATTTTCAATACAATTTTAACTAGGTAATCTCTCAACTTGACTGCATCCAATCAAATTGTGCATATTTATTATTATTTATTTTATTTTTTTTTCTAGTAAGAGGGAGATGACATGGAGGAAGATTGTTTAAATTCCATCCAACTAGTGAGCATGGCATGGGTTAGGTATTTTTGTGTAACTACACCAGTTTGTTGTTTGTTGCCCTTGTATTTTATTAATCTTTTTATATACATATATTTAGAAAAATAAAATAATCAGTCAATGCTAAAAATTAAAAACCAAAAAATAAAACAAAAAAAAAATCTAAATATTGGCATCTTCATGTGAAGACGCTCGGAATCACTATTTCAAATTGTCTCAACGAACTCTTAGTACCTTACATTAAAAAAAAATAAGAAAGTGATTTAAAGTCTCACCTTTATAAGACCATCTCCAACGCTGAATCAAAATTGATATCAGATTTAAATTTTGATGAAAAATGTACTTTTTCATGCTCTAACCGTTGCATCAAATGAATATCAAAATGAGAAATCATCAAAAAAAGTATCAAACTGAAAACAAGTTCTGCATTTTACCAAATCACTGTTACTGACCGTTGAAGGAGATACATCGGTTGCCCGGCCGGTTGCCCGGCCGGTTGACCAACCGGTCAACCGGTTCCTTTGAAATAACTAGGTTCAAACCAATCAAAAAAGGTTCAATCAAACCAGTCAAAAAAGGTTCAAACAGGTAAAAAAAAAAAAAAAATTGCCCAAACCGGTCGACCGGTTGGTCAACCGGCCGGTCGACCACCTCCCCAATTCTGCTTTGATGCTCACCGTTGGAGCGCCTCGTATCAAATTCAAAAAAACGTCATTTTTTTTATCAGATTTGATGAAAAAAGAAGTTAAGCGTTGGAGATGCTCTAAGGTAAAATAAAGTCTACTTTTTACCAAAAATAAATAAAAAATGAAAAATAAAGTCTACTTTTTCTGATGTGATTTTTTTGTTGTTATTTGTGGATCAAATGATGAAATACCTCGGAATCCCAAATACTTTCACTCATTGTTGGGTGATGTTTGGAATACAATTTTTCCTCTCAAAAAGAATGCAAATTTTTAAATTTTTTTTTTTGACTATTTTAATTATAAAAAGATAAAATATATTAAAAAGTTAATAAAATAAAATATCACATCTAAATCATAATAATTTTATTTTTTCTCTCATCAAAGTCAAAAAGTTAAAAAATCCATCCTAAATAAGACATTTTAGCTCTAGATTAAAATAGTTAAAAAGCAAAAAACCAACCCACATCACAAACGAAGGCTTATGAAACAAATTTTGTGAGCTTGAGGATAATTACTCAGTAATTTCAGAGTATAAATACGTAATATTGTAATTGGCGAAGAAATGAGTATGTAGGGTATTATGTTAGGCAATTAAGAGATATGACAAGGCATAATAAATAATGATTGGCTTACAGACACACGGCCTTATTTGGTTTATTTTTGAGAAAAATTTTTGAGAAAAATTCTCTACAAATAAATTTTCAAGAGTAATTAAACCAAACAAATTTTTTCAAAAAAAATCTCAAAATTTTATTTGGTTACCTACTTTCCAAAATCACTCTCTCTTATACACATCAAATCAATCATTTTTTTTTAAAACTCTCTCTCCAAAATAATTTTTCAAAATTATTTCTGAAAAAAAGACAAACCAAACAAGTTTTCGTACTTTTTATCTCAATAACTACTCTACAAATACAAACCAAACACACCGATAGTATTTCGAAAATATTGAATAATTTTCCAAGCTTGAGTGCCATCATTTGTTCTAAAAAGAAAAGAAAAAAAAAATATCATTGTAATCTCACATGGCAATAATATATTTCAGTGTTTTGAATTTAGTTTTCTGAAAATTGAATGTTTTATTTTTTGTGTTTTTTTTTTATTTTTAGTAAATAGTTTTAAAATTTTAAGTATTTTTTTTTACCTTTTTAAATTTACTTTACTTAGATGTATCTAAAAAATAAAATATTTGTGAAAAATATTTCAAAAAATTAATAAATATACAAAAATATACTGAATTTTTATTTTTTATTTTTTATATTTTTGGTATTTAGTGAGTTTTTTTATAAAAAAAAAATTACAAAAATTATACTCTTTAAATGTATTTATGTTAGGTGTGTCCAAAAATTAAAAAAAAAATTAAAATATTAAAAACTTTAGTAAAAACAAAAAAAATATATGAAAAATAAAAAAATAAAATTTTCTAACAAGTACTTTTAGAAAATCCAAACCAAGCAAAGGAATTATTATCCATCTCTGATCAATCAACAATTCATCATTAAACACCCTACACCATCATTGTTCAATTAAGAATGCTTCTAAGAAATTATTTAGCTTCATATATTTTAAAGTAATCAATTAAAAATCAAGATTACATCATTCAAAATTTGATTAAAAGAGAAAAATATAAAACACAAAAAGGATTTTGATTGTCAATCAATTCCATCGCCTTCGCAAGAGGCATGCATTGCGGTGTCTAACGAAAGCGCCGCAGCTATGGACTTTTTTGTGTCTACTTTTATGTTTTAATAATGAAACTCATACACCATCATCATCATGATGTTAATTATCATTAATGAACATAATCTTTTTGACTTGTGTCATTTGACATTTTTAAGTGGTGTTTTAAAAAGTTGATAAAAAATTAATTTTTTGACTTTTTAAACTTTTTTGATGTTTTTTTTGACAAAAAAAATAGCATCTTTGTAAAAAAAAAATTGGCTTTTTTACTAAAAAAACTAGCTTTTTTGTATATCTGTTGATAATTTTATGGAGATCTCGTTTGAGAATAAGATATTTTAATAATTTTTTATAAAAAATAATGTAAAAAAATAAAAAATATAATATGATAATTTATAACAATTTTTTTTTTAACTTTTGACTAAAGCATATAATTGTCAAACGAGGCCCCCACGTGATTTTTGACTTTCTCCAACTCATAAGTCATCTAGATAGCATATCTACTTGGAAACAGATTATGAAGTGATTTTTTTAGTAATTTTTAGTTAAAATATAAAGTACAAAAATTAAGATAAATTCTAAATATATTTTTTAAGATTTGTTTAAAATATTAATTATTCTTTGTAATTCTAAAAATTATATCTCACTCTTTAAAATTTCTAATCACATAATCAATAATCACTTTTATTAATCAATTTATTAAGTCAATTAACAAGTTTTAATAATGTTGGCAATATATGTCAATTAATAGTGCTGGTAAATTCATTGTTGTATAGGAGGATGTTTAGGAATTTTCTTTTTTCTATCAATTATATTAAATGACAAATTCTAACAAGGATATTTATAATTTCTAAAACCATAAGAAACAATTTGTATTTTAATAAAATCTTAGAGGTTGTATTTATAATTTATTCAAAAAATTAGGGAGATTCTATTTTCACACACCAAACCTTCTTAGTACACATCTCTTCTCAAGACACACTTAATGATTTTGAAACACATTTTGGTATGGCTCTATTTGCACACCCAAACATTAGGTTGAGCACACCAATATAATGAAATTTTTTTATTACTATTATGTCCTTATTTGTAATGATCAAAAAGTATTTGATATTAAGAAAAAGTACAAATCAAAGTATTTTGGACACTCTATTCATAATCAATCTCAATCTTTCATTCTCTCTTATCTTCTTACTCTCTTCACTTTGTATCTTCACACTCAAACCTATTTTGCTTGAATCTATCATTTTTACATTCTATTTTATATTGAAATCAACAATGGCCAACAAAAAAGGCATTTTTAAGTAGTTTTTTTATATAGAAGGTAGGTGTTCTATTCATGTTCATCGTTTTCTACTGTTGAGTTTACGAAATTTGTTTGAAAATTCAATACCGAACAAATTATATTTATTTGAAAACTTGTTTCTAAGTTGGAACCATTTTTTTGTTATTCGAAATTGAATATCTAGACATACTTCATTTGTTCGGCACTGAGTACTCGAATGAAAAAACTAGAACCAATTCAATTGTTTGGAACTAAGTATCTGAAGAAATTTAATATTTTTAGAATTAAGTATCCGGACATATTTAATTTGTTCAGCACTGAGTATTCAAATGGTGACGATGGGAGTTTGGTAATGACAGGATAATGGGGTGTAAAAAGTACGTTGTAATATATTTCTAAGATTTTT